GAACTAAATTGGTTCAATATCTAGAATAAATTCCTGCTATATTACCAGTACTTTACCCCATTGTCCCCATTGTTTTCCTTTGATAAGCAGTTCACTTACACCCAAACAGTAATGAAAACCATACAGAAATCTCTACCACAGTAATCATTCCTCTGGCTTTTTGAAAACCAAAGGTTGGCAAACTGACTGGTCATCAGTTATGGTGCCTGGGGTGACAGGATTCCATTACTACCCCGCCTGCTTACAACGATGATCGGATATTAAGTTGTTCTCACACAAGGCAAACCCAGTTGCCTTAGGACTTGACTTTTCCTGTAATGACTGTCTTTCTTTGGAATAATCTCTCTGTTATTGTCTCGCCAGTCGGATCTCTTATTGTCAACTTGGGAGATTTGTGACCAAATGCCACCCTCCCTAGCTCTCTAATATTAGCCAACTTGGATCGAATCTTGGACTTCCTGTCCTTTGCCTATATCTGCGTTTCACAAGGAATTCTGTAAGGTACCCATCTGAGCTCTTTTGGCCTAGAGCTTTAACACTTCTACAAGCCTAGTCCAGAACTAAAGCTATATTATTTTAATGGTTTCAGATGATCAAAACCCAATATAAATGCTTTCAACGTGATAATTCAAAATAAAAACGCCATTTTAAGAAGCCTCCTAACACGTGACCAGTAGGGTAGCTAAGGCCAAATGGTGCAGAGGTTGATGGCAAGAAAAGCGTGGTGAGTGGTAAAGAGTGGGTTAAGAATCAGGTGCACGTCCCAGCCATCCTGTCACTAGCAGTGTGACCTCGGTGTTTCTGTCTCAGGTTGCATCTCTAGACTAAGAATGATAATGTTATTGGAAGGATTAAATGAGATGTTTGCACATATGTAATGGACCTGGCGCAGTTGCTAGCACAACTAGAACATAGCAAATGTTCAGTAAATGGTAATCATCGCTATCTTGGGTAATATGGGATCATTTCTAATAAATAAGGAGTTACTCAAATGCTTTTGACATGAACCATCACTGTATTAATTTGTTCATTCTCTGTATCTATCTGTTTACCTGATGTAGTTTTGAATGTAGGTGAGGTCCAGAGCTGAAGGCCAAGAAAGAATTCATAAGACATCTTTGGTGCAAAAAGGTGGTTTTATTAAAGTACAGAGCACAGGAACAGAACTCTTGGGCAGAAGGAGCTGCCCTGGGGTCATGAGGAGTGGCCCATTAGCTACTTTCAAGTTGGGAGTGGGTTAAGGATAGTGTAAGCTTCCTAAGTATTTTGGAAACAAGGTTTCCAGGATCCTGAGGGTGCTAGCTATTGTTGGCAAAGGTCATTTATTATTGTTTCATAAACCCTCAATGATGAGACCCCTCAGATGTCTGCCCGGTGGGCCATATGCTTGGAGGATGATTCCCAACACATATCTTAGGGGGTAGAGATAAAGGAAGTTTCCAAAAGAATGTGTTATACTTACAGGATCCTGGGCTAGGATTGCCTTTTGCCTTTAGCAAAGTATAAACGTCGAGGAAGCTGAGACCTTAGAGGATGGTCACTCTGCCTGTTCTAAGGACTTGACAGTGGACTGTAGGTAGTAAGGAAAATCAATAATTTTTTTTTTTCTTTTCATACCCTCTTCTGGGTAGTTCTGTGAAAGAGGCAGCAGTGGAGCTCCAGGGTAGAGAGTGCCTCAGTTTACCTCCTGTCGGGGATTAAATAGTGTGCAGGGAAGGATAGCATACATTCTTTTACATTAGGTCCTCGTTTTAAGCTAATAGCTAGAAACCAGACCCGTTCCTATCAGTACATGTCACTTCAATGGGAGTTTTTCCGAAGTTAGCCACATCTCTGCCTACAAAGTACCAGCAGACTTGCGTGATGCGATGAACTTTCTAAAAATCATCAAGTCCCTGTCGTTGTGGGTCAGGATTTCCATGCTTCCTAAGGGTGCGGCCCACCGTGCAGGTTGCATCATATCTCTGGCCCACCCTGTGCCTGTTATTCTCACAACCTCAGTCTTCATCTTCCCAACAACGCTGGGATCAGCATCAACTTACTCACTTTGTAGGTGAGAAAACTGAGATCGGAAGGTCCGGTCACATGCCCTAAACGGAATCATTGGAGAGTAAACCAAAAGCAGCCGCGGGGGTTACACCAGCTCAGTCTTACCACAGTTATTCGTTATTCACCGTCAGTTATTTGTCAGAATGATTTTGAATGTCTTTATTATTATAAAAACATTTCTTAGCAGGACCCAGGGGCCTGGGGTAGCAGCGTGAGCATCAGGTCCAATTAGCCACTGGGAGGAAGCCAGTGGGGATTTTATGGGAGGAATTTATATTCAATAGAAGCCTTTTGGCAAAGTAATTGAGAATGTGAATAAAAGGGAATGAGAAAATGTAGTGTTCTTTAGACTTGCAAATACATTTGAAAAGGTTAATGTTGTGTTTTACTGAGGTAGAGGAATTCTTTGATCTTGATGCTTCAGGGAAAAAAAAAAAACAATGCAAAAATATCAGGGCATCTCTCTGGATCATTTAAATAATGTTGCCTGCAAGTCCTCGGCCCTGGGACCACACTTATTTTAGCATATTTATAAATCATCTGAGGAGTATATGGTGAAATTCCAGATTTCAAATTTCCAGATGAAAACTGCTAAACTCCTCTAGGTAGTGAAGTGCCAAGCTGGCTAATATAAATGCAGAAAGACAACCCAGGGTTACGCGAGTGGCAGCATTCTGGACAGCAGATGGGCTTCGGCGTGGACAACCATAGGGTAAGGAATTTAGGGAGAAGTAAAACAAACCATCCTTCCAAGATTAAAGGGCTTTGAACCCTCAGCTAGAATGAAGCTCGCGTATATTTTTGTCCCTAGTTATTCCTACTGCAGCTAAAAGGCCAGCCAGAAATCAGGAGTGCTTAGAAAGGGACATTGAAAAGGGGCCATTAGAAGCCGAAAATAGTCTCCTGCTCAAATGTGAAGCTGTGGTCCACTTATACCTGGAGTGTTGTGTTTTGCTCCACAAGCCTTAAGCAGCTGTGAGAAGGTACAGAGATGGATTCAGAGGCTCTGTGGGGAACAGGAGCTGTTTTAGGGGGGCCAACTACAAAGATCAGGATGAAGGTTCACAAAATTATAGGGATACGGTACATGTGGACACTCACCTTGATTAACAGTTGCCGTCCCCGTCATCGGCAAACGTGGGTCAGAGCGTAGATAGGAAAGGAGTAGAGCATACCGCTGGTTTAAAGTCGGAACCAATTTAGGCAGAAAGGCCAATAGGCTCACTGACAAATAGGCAAATAAAAATTCAAGGAAGTATGGGATGAATGCCAAAGAAATGCCTACCTCTCCCCTTTGAAACTCAAAAGAGAGTTGTTTTGGTTTTTTGTTTTTGTTCTTTTTGGGGGGGGGAGGGGGTTGTTTTTAGATTACTTACACTATGGGTAGAATACTTTAGGAACTAATAACCCAAATAGTCCCAGTTCTGTCCTCGTACTATACATGGGCAGAGAAGAGAGAAATGCGTTTCTTATGAATGGATGTATAATACGCTGTTTTAAAAAGTCAGTCATTCTTGGAGATGCGCCTACACTTTGCAGTTTACCTTGGAGTAAAATAAATTTTGGAATTCAGCAAACCTGATTCAAATCCTAAAGCCACCGTGTACTGGTCCTCAGATAGGCTACTTAACCACTCTGAACTCTAGTATCCTCTTCTGGAAAGGAAGAATACCTTCTAGAGAAGGATGTTGGGATGGTGAAAGGGGTAGCATTTGTAAAGCTCCAGGAGGGGAGGGGGCCTGAGACTGTCTGCAGGTCTTGGCTCCCTTTGTCATCTCTTCCACAGGTGTGCCCTTTGCAGCACCCTCAGACTCAGAATCCCGTCCGAGGGAGCCTCTGAGTCTTCCCCCAGGTGGACCGAGCTTGATTCTCATGCTACTCTGCTACTTTCATCAACATTAACATTCATTCTCTCATATTCATTGAGCCCCTATTCTTTCAAGCATTGCTTTAGGCATTTGGGGAATCATACTGATAAAGATAGATCAGGGCCCTGCTTGTAGGAGGTTTACCTAGGGGATCTGAGGCACACGCGCACACACACACATACATACACACACACTGAACCTGTAAACAAAGTCATTTACGAGAATGAGAAAAAGGGGATCCTAGAGTAGAGTGGGACAGGGGTTGAGGACATGGTTCTTTTAATGAGAGGAGGAAAAAGGCTTTCATGAGGAGACAACAGTTGAGCTCCAGAAGGACTAGAAGGTGTCATTTGAAAATCTTAAGGGGAACGTCCCAGGTAAATGGACAAAGGGGATAGAAGCCCCGAGGCAAGAATGAGTATGGAATGTTGAAGGAGCAGAGGAGACCAGTGTGAGCATCCTGAATGGAGAGACCCTAAGAGAGGCAGAGGGCAACCAGCCTACTGGGCCTTGGAGCCAGGTTAGGACTCGGATTTTATTTTAAGAGCAATAGAAGGGCGCCTGGGTGGCTCAGGCAGTTAAGCATCTGTCTTCAGCTTGTGTGATGCCGGGTCCTGGGATGGAGCCCTGCATTGGGCTCCCCGCATAGCCAGGAGTCTGCTTCTTCCTCTCCCTCTGTGTACATGTGCTCATTCTCTCTCCCTTAAATAAATAAATAAATAAAATCTTTAAAAAAGAAACAGGAGCAATAGAAAGCTATTGGAGAGTTTTCTGCTGGTAAGGGAAAAGACTCGACTTATCCTTTGGAAGGCGCTGTGGTTGCCGAGTGGAGAACGGGGCTCTAGGGCAGCTCGAGCTAAAGGAGCGGTGTCAGCTCTCTTTTCCTGCCTCCAGTCCGCTGCCACCGTGGACTCTGCCCGTGCCATTCCCATCTTTCCAGACTCGAGGGCCCACTCTGATTTCACACTGCATCTCCCAGGGGGCAGAGGTAACGGCACAAATCCCTTCACTCTTCCATCTTTTAGGACATGTAAAATATTTTTTCTCAAACAAAATATTTAACCGAAATATATGTCGTTTCAGGTTTTAAAAATCAATTTGATTGGCCACAGGAAACGTATTTTGGCATCTCTGGGAGACAGGCTGCACGACGACCCACCCCAGAAGCCCCCTCGGTCCATCACCCTCAGGGTAAGTGCCCAGCTGGTCCGTTTCGTTCTCTACTCTTATCCTCAAAAATGATCTTGTGCAATAAAATAAAATGACCAATACAATGGATCGGGAAGTACAGGCTGTTTTCCATGTAGCTTACCTTATTTATATAAAAAACAATCTCACTTTTGATTGTATTTTGTAAGATGAGATTTGTTTTTTTCAATTGGTTAAATATCTATTTTTGAGATTTTAGATGCACACCTGACAAACCACCACCTTTAAAGAATCGCTCCCTCTCCTCCCTTCCCACACTCCCATCTGCACCAAGTGAGAGGAAATGAGTTTTCTGTCAAACTCCTCAAACCCACAGAAAAGAAATCAATGGAGGACCACAATTAAGGAAGGATCAATTTAAAGTTAACCTTAGGGTCTTCTGGTTTTTAGGCAGTGCAAACTTGTCAGCTTTACCTACTTCAAAAATGAAAAATAGAGACTCTAGAGAACTTTAAGAAACGAGTTCAGCTACATTTTGGGATTATGGGACAGAAAAACTAGAGAGAGAACCCACAGAAGGCAGAGAAAACTAAAGTGGAAGGAGAAGGAAGGCAGGAAGGGAGGAGCAGAGCGAACAAGAAAACGACAGTTGATCGCCAGCAAGGTGGCAGTGGCAAGGAGCCCGCAGCTGGCCCTGGTTTTGTGAGGCCTATTGGACCTTTCCAGAAATTCCTCAAAAAGCCAGGATCTCCATGACTGCTTGGAGAGTTCCAGCTCTGTTCTCTTCAGTTAGTCCTGCACTTGCTTCTGACCCCTCTCCTGCACGTGGCAGCAGAGGCAGGGATCGAGAACAGTGCGCAGGAGCCCAGCCCTTAGATGGAGCTAAGTTCCCACACTTGATCTTAGCCAAAAGGTGGAGAAACAATTGGAACTGAGTCCCATCTAACGCGTGCAATGCCGCAGAAAGCCTCTTACCAGTGAGCTTCAGCAAACAGCCAGCTCGCTACCACCAGCACAGCGGAGGGCCAGGCAGGAGAGGAGCTGCTAAGATTTGGAGTCTGATTCCGTTTTTAAAGGAGGAGAAGATATACAACCATGTCAGGGAGCACAGGAGAGGTGGCTGGAGGAAGGAACCAGAAGGAACATATTGGGAGAATCGGGACACACTGGGACATTTGGAGACTAGTTGAGGGCTTTGGGAGCAGTGAAAGGAGAAATAGGACCTATTTTTCTTCCCAGGAAAGGAAGCCTCCAGTAAGTTAGAGGGGAAATAAGGCTGGAAAGAGATTATTGTCTTGCCTTCATTTTGCTACATGAAAGGAGGGAAAGATTTAGGTGCCGTCAGTGTAAACATCCTAAAATGCCTCTTTACATGAGCAACTCCCCCAACTTATTCTGCTCTCTTTCCTTCCCCTCCTGAACCTCTCCCTCTGGCTCCCTGGAAGAAATTTAGGAGAACAACAAACAGACTAAAGACAGAGATTTCCCTAGAAAAAGTGCAGGATCTTAATCTGTCACAGGAGGCCCAGAACATCTGGGGGAGGAGTGGCCTGGAGACCCAGCACAATCCAACCCTCCTCTGACTTGCAGACACTTGAGCCCAGCCTTCTGCCGCCCCTTGTCTTCCTTCTGCCTGGTTTCCCTCAGCTTGAGTCATCTTTGCCGTTGACACGCATCCTCTGTCATTATATGCATTGCTCTGCGGTCTGCGTGTGACATGCTGTGTCTCCATGCTGTGTCCTCTACCCTGCCCCATTGCCACACCACCCTCTGATGGAGAATCAAGACCCGTTAGGTCCCATCGGGGCTCTCTGTTCATGTGTCTACCACAGTGAGGACACTCTGTCCGCATTAAAACATAGCACACACGATATCGTCAGGGGTGCCCAACGTACGTGTGCCTTCTCTCCTGAACTCCTCCGTAGCACTGGGTGCAAGAAAACAGAGCCTGACTGAGTATCCTTTAAACTTTTGACCTAAAATACTTAGGGGGGGGAAATATTGTCTAGATCATGCCATTAAAAAAATGGCGGAACGTCATCTATGTCTTGGCAGTTGATTCAGAAATGACTCCCCACCCCCGCAATTTGTCTTGTCAGTGTTTCACAATTGTGAAAGCAAAGGTGAGCCACAAGAACATGGTATTTATTTCATGATGTATTTCCATTCAGGATCCCAGTGGTAATCACACTCCTCCTCAGTTGTCTCCATCACTTAGCCAAAGCACTTACACCACTGGTGGCTCCCTAGACGTTCCTCACATTATCATGCAGGGCGATGCAAGGAGGAGAAGAAATGAAAACTACTTTGATGATATTCCCCGATCAAAACTGGAGAGGCAGATGGCCCAGGTAAGGTGTTATAAGCCTCTGTGATGTTTTTGCCTTCCCCCATATCAAGTAATGCATTCTAATATTGAACACTGGCTTACGGTGAGCGGGTGCCTGTTGTCCACCCAGCCGGAATTTTACCATTTTATGCTATGGCTTTCATTCCTTACTTGCTTGAACCAGACCGAAACAGACCTTCCTGGGAATGGAATGTACACACAGACCCTTGCTCTCCATTCTTATGGGAGAAATTGTCCGATCTCGTTGCACCCAGAAAGTCTTTGGGCCAGAGAGGGTCACACCATGTAAGAATCGAATCATAATGAAAATGAATAATAAAAGTCTGGGTTATAAAATGTAAATCGGTTAGATGACAGAGCCAAAGTTGGAGGGAAGTATTAGCTCTTCATGATGTTGTTAATTTCCTTCCAAGCTAACATGCTTGTACAGAAAAGTACCGTCTCATATTGTCACCTTGAGGAGTTGAAGGTGATGATGCTGCCTGACACAAAGAACCGAAAAAAGAAACCTTTCCTGTTTGGACCTTTCCAGGGTTTTGGTAGAGATGTCTGTGTCTAGCCTGCCCTCAGATTACTGCTCAGAAACTTGAGTCAGCCATAACCAGACAGCAGAGCATGTTGTTAACATGCATTCAGAGGGGCAGCTAGCTCTAGAGTTTCTCTGAGAATTCAAGATTTGAATTTGTTGACAACAACTGGCAGAATCAGCTCTTTTCATCCTCCTCCTAGGTTCAGACCGGTGTGTTAAGAGGCTTCTCTCTGCCTCCCACACCTAAGATGAGAATCTTGAGGTGAAAATTCGACTGTAATTGCTTTGCTTTGCTTGTTAAATATTTTTCTCAACTGTTTGGTGAGATTCTGTTTTGAAAAGCCTTTGGTAAACATTCTGTGCTGCTGCTCATGAAAGAAAAATGTGGAGAGAATGTTCTGGAAACCATGGCTATTCTGCCTGCAAATGCCCTGGAGAGAGAGGGTCTGGTATATTGCAACTCCTTTCGGCTTTCTCAATATTGAATTGTTCTCTGGGTTCTTTGTGCAGGGAATGGCAATGTTAGGATTATGGACAATCTTTTATTGAAGGGAGATGAAAATGCATGAGATACAAGAAATGAATAATTTTCCCTTTATCTCTTGTTAAGTATTAGCTTTTAATCCTTATTTCTGTTTTCACTGATGTTCTTTTAAAGAATCTGAAAGCTTTTTCCCCAAGTTGTTCAGATATTTCCTGCTGCTTGTTAGTATTTGTGAATCACATATCTGGTTAAATTTCTCTAGTGACGGCATTTCAGAGACATGGTTTGATTTAACTTTGAGCCATGTTGTCTTTATGTATTAGTACAAACTGGGTCTTTTCTGAACCTTTCCCTTCCCTGGGTGAAGGAGGATCCTTCATTAAAAACCATTAGCTACTGTTGACTCTGCCAGCCTCAAAAACAGAATCACCTATCCGAGATCCTCATATAATCTGTGAAATTTCTGCACAGAGTACAGTTTTTTCAAAGAGGAACTTAATTCCCCATCTGCCTGCATGTGAACACTTGGGTAATCTCGCACGATTGTTCCCTAACTTTCTCTTCTTCGGGAGGTTCATAAGCTAGGGCCGGTATGGAATAGCCCAGATGTTTTTCCTGTCACTCCAGTCAGCAGGCATCCCTTTGAAGAGTGGTCTCACTCTCGAGAAAGTTTAATGAACTTGTATCTGGCCAGGTGAGAGAGGTCCAGAAACAGAAAGAGGCGGAGATAAGTGGGTGGATGGACACAGTGAACCACGGAGGGTCTATGTCTTTTCCTCTCATGGACTGTCTGCAGTGATGGAATGACTGGTGTAGACATAGGGCACAATCAGCAGCCAGGAGCATATTAGACCTTTCTGAAATCCTGCCATTAAATACCGCACTTTGGCTGCAGAGAAAATAGGAGATGGCACTGCAGGAACCTGATCCACAAGAAAAAAGGATTCTGAGATCGCAACTCTTTCAGTTGGGTTAATTGCAGTTTTTTATTTGTTTCTCTTGAGAATGTTTCCTAGTCTAGAAATGCCAAAAATAGTGGAGAAATGAATGTGTACCTTTTAAAAATTAGTTTCAAAACTTTAACCTGTCAAAATACAAAATACTCAGTGATTTTGTTGTTGAACGGTTTTATTTAAGTACTTTTCTACCACTCAGCCACTCAACTAATGCTTTTTCTTATCCTTCCTTTTCTGGTCATCTGCTATAATGATTTTTTAAATCCCTTTGCTTTTTTAACAACCTGTCATATCCACACTAGACCACATTCTTCCCCGAGGTTGTCCTTAGCCAATAACGTTGAGTCTTCCTAAAGATTTGAATGAGAAATTAAAATTTCAGTAAGCAAGGAGCTAGTTACATCGCCTTCCAACCAGGAGCTCCGTCCCTGCGGTTCCTCCCTGGACATTTTCTCCCAAGGGGCTTATGAAGCATGGGTAAGGCTTGCCTTGCCTGTCTCTTTCCCACCAGACAGTAGAAGTTCATCTTCAGGCTTTCTTACTTAAAGGAAAGGAAAATGCAATTAATAGAAAATCACCAGGCCAGATCCACGTTCCAAGAAACCCCTTTACTCCAAATAGCAGAGGCCCCACCAGAGCAATCTGGAATTCTAGTCATAGGCCAGAAACCTTAAGTTCTTGGTGGTGGCAGTATTTTAGAAGAATGTTGCCTTCTTAAGGTCTGCTCAATAAATGTGTAGAAGCGCTTTCCTTCACTTGGAAAAACCAATGCTTAAAGTTAAATTGAGGTGAATTCAATGTCCCCTCCACTACTAAATTTGTTCATTGGCAAATGATTTTCAAAGGTAACACTAGGGTGATGTTTAATTACTTGTGTTCAACTTGAACCAATATGAAAAACTGTCTTGGAATACAAAAGATTTTAACTACTGTGACTATTGTTTGCTTTTATTCAGATAGAAGCAATATTCTGGCATCAAATCATGTTAAAGAAATATGTGAGAGACAGAGTTGAGTTCAGTACTAAGAACGTTTTTTAACCCACCGAATGTAATGATATAATCACACCTAAACAATGGGTTTCCATCATGCTGAAAACATTGTTTTCTAGCCTACAGTTCTAAATTGGACTCATTAGCTCAGAAGCTCCATGGTGCTCCCACATTGCCATAGCTCTAATAAATGAATGTCACACTCACATTTGTATAATAACAACTCAGAGCTTTTAAATTTTCAAGTGCTTTCACATCTGTTATCTCCTTTTAGTACAAACGATCTATCCCACACAACTACTCATGTGCGTGTTACACACGGCAGATGAGCTGCTCAGTCCGAGTTCTGTAGAGATGAAAAAGCAAGCGAAAATACGGAAAATAGATCAGAAGGGAGACAACTATTTCCAGTATTTAGGGCCGACTCACAATCTTTGGAAATTTTCTTGAGTGTTCTTTAGAAGTCAGAATACTCTTAGGTCCCCAGATGGCTCAGTCAGTTAAGTGTCTGCCTTTGGCTGAGGTTATAATCCCAGGATCCTGGGATCGAGTCCTGTATTGGGCTTCTTGCTCAGCGGGGAACCTGCTTCTCCCTCTGCCTCTGCCATGCTCTCTCTCTTTTTTTCTCATAAATAAATTAATATTTTTAAAAAGAATACCCTTAAAATGAATAATAAAGGAGAATAACGTAGCTAATAAAGTTTAGGGACCATATTCTCCAAAGTTACAGAGAAAGGAAAAAGAGTTTCCAGATATGAAACTTATCACCATTTATAGAAGGCCTTCATTTACAAAAAATACTCAGGGAAAAATGAAACCTGCTTCTGTTTTCACAAAATAAAAAGGTCTCCTAAGTAGTAAGAGAAATGCAAGTCTTTGCACAAATTTTAGCTTGATATTAATGAGGAAAATCCACAGCATAGAGGTCCTTGTGTTTGGAAGGCTCTCATCTAAAAAGAGTATCGGTATTGGGGGACAGTTACCTTATCTGATGCACGCAAACCCGAGAAATAGATATTATCCGCATTTTGAAGACAAGGAGGCTGGGAAACCACATGACTTGCGTGGTCCGGGTCACACAAGCAGAAAGAAATCAAATCAGAACTTGCCTGGGGGATTATGTAAGGCACTGCGAAGGCTTTGTGCGCATTGCTCCTCAGTCAGTGGAAAGTTGATTCAGCCGGAAGTCTAATGTTTCTTGATCCAAGCAGTATTACTTAATAAGTACAAGTGATTCGTTACTTCTTTATTTGAAAGCATTTTACATATTATATGAGTTCTACAAAGATCTGTTCTTTTGATACTGTTAAAAGAGGAGAAATGGAAACGGGGCCAGATGGAAGCCCTGCCCTGGAAGTCCATGTGCTCTGTCTTACCTAATCCTCACCGTGGAGCATCGTGCACTCAAGCAAGCCCAGGGCGGTAAGGGGTTTGCCTCCTGGCTAGTGTATGGCAGAGCCCGGACTCACGCTCCACCTACCTGACCATAGCCTGGTTTCTCTATGGCTCCTAATACCCTGTGGTGTGTCTTAAATGATATAAATATTTTTACGTGATATAAAACATTTTATTTTTTAAGATTTTATTTATTTATTTGACAGAGATTACAAGTAGGCAGAGAGGCAGGCAGAGAGAGAGAGAGGTGGAAGCAGGCTCCCTGCAGAGCAGAGAGCCCCATGTGGGGCTCGATCTCAGGACCCTGGGATCGCGACCCGAGCCGAAGGCAGAGGCCCTGACCCACTGAGCCACCCAGACACCCCGATATAAAACATTTTAATAACAGTTCAACAAATACAGATTTCCCCTACTCTAAATTAGATTACACCTGTGGAGGCACAGCAAACAGAACAAGGATAAAATCACTAGTAGTTTAATGGAAACTTACTGAATCAGCTTTTTTATGTATCATCATAAAACCCTTTAATGCACAACTATAACGATTATTTGTTGAGCCTTTTAGTGCAGACCCCTCTGCACATCTTGGTAGAACTCTGCCCTTCCCCCATGTTTTCGAAAGCTTCGCCCAGAGGTATGGAGCTT